ATCAAATATCCTGTACACCGCACACAATTTTGACTAGCGTGCGCTCTTCCAACTCTAACATGTTAGCCGATGAGCGTTTGTCCTCACCGACAGAGAAACGCGGAAGCCTGGGCCCGGCAGTCGCCGATCCTCGCCTCAAATATTTTTTAATTCACGCAAAATGACCCTCGTTTCACGTAAGCAATAAATTGGGAGCCAATGGATTCGGCACCAAAATTCATGTAAATTAAAAAATACTGTAATTTTTCTGTATTGATCCGATGCATTCCACCGCAGTGCCGGAAATGCTTATTTACGGAATTACCCCTTAAGATCATTCCTTCGTGTTTGGTGCAAAACGGAGGAACAAAGCTCTTACTTTAACTCTTTAAGTACCTCCCATTATTAATGAACTTTAATTTTTTTTTCTCAAAAAGTAAATATATTAATAAAAATACTATATTTATAATATGATGTGAAATTATAAATATATAGTAATAACACAATATTAAATAATTAAATGTATATAATTCATATAGGCACGTTGAAGTTTAGAGAGTCAACAATAATAGGGATGTGGCAACGAGTCCCAACGAGATGTAGTCCTCTCTCCATCCACATTCCTGCTAATGATGAGTATGGCATTCCCATGGGGGTTTTTGACTATAGGAAAAAATGACCTCCGTCTTTATATCAATGGGGAATGATAGTTCCCCATAAGTATTTGGAATTCATATCAAGTATTAAATACGTATAATTTAATTTTTTTTCTTAAAAAATCAAAAAGTAAAAATTTAAAATAACTTAAACAAATAAATACATTAACATATAGTGCAGTAAAATAATATTTAGTAACCAATTATAGTAAATACATACTATCATATACATCCAACAGGTCTAACAATAATTCATAAAAAAGATGCATGAACTGATATACATATTTAGGTTGAGTTAAGTTATTGAATTAAGTTTGAGAAAACTAAAATTGGAAAAGGAATTAGGTTGGGCAATTTAGATTAAGTTAGATTAACCAATTAAGTTGAGTGAGTAAAAATTAATTAGTAATATATTTACAAATATATAATAATAAATCTACATATTTTTTATTATATATTGATTCATAAAGTAATTAATCTTTTCATTATCATTTTTAATATTTTAATTGTCAAAATATCATGATTTTTTTCATTTTTTTAACTTGAAGAATTAGGGGGAAGGAGATT